AAATTGTATAATTTTCTATAATTTTTATAATTTTCTATAATTGTTTCTAATTTTTATAATTCTTATAATTTTCTATAATTTTCTATAATTTTCTATAATTTTCTATAATTTTCTATAATTTCTATAATTTCTATAATTTCTATAATTTTAAATTTCATATTAAGAAATTTCGGTTTGAAAATTTATTTATTTAACGTCATATAAAATTTTTAGAAACTGCAGTTTGAGAATTTATTTATTTAACTGTCGACAAAAATTCAAACTCAATTTTGCAAAAAATGAAGCTACAAATAAAAAATTGTTATTACACATTTTTTATTTAATTTTGCATGTATAATAACCACCTGTTAATTCCATGATCTGTATTTAACCAGAATTTAACGAATGTACATGTTGTTGAAAACGCGGTGTCAAATGAAAAATGTTATTTTATTTGTTTACAACCACCACCTGATCTGCAATATTATGTTATATGAAATACCTTGTGTATGTCACGTTATTTTCGTTGGCCGTTGTAAACAATTGTCACCAATTCCATGGTTCACATTGTAATTTGCATTAACATGTAATTATTTGTTTATATCAACTATTATTAGGTTATTGTTATTGATATATTCCATGAATCTAACTAACTTTTTTTCAAAATATATTGTTTGAATTTTGAAAAAAAGTGTGAGATAGGTCACTCTAATTATTTGGTAGTTTTCTTGTTAATATATGGGAACTCATTGTTTTAACTTTAGTGTCATTTATATTGGTAATATTATTTATTATAACTTTAGTGTCATTTATATTATTTATCATAACTTCATTATCATTTATATTATTTATTAAAACTCCACTATCATTTACATTACCTACATTAATTATCACAACTCTATTTACATTACACTAATTACTAACTCCATCACCTACACCATTCCTATTACCCACCCCAACCTCACATTCTAATTTCAACAATACTATTTATTATAACTACAGTATCATTTCTATTATTTATTATAACCTCATTATCATTTATATTAATTATTACAACTCCACTATCATTTACATTACACTAACTACCAACTCCATCACCTACACCATATCACCCACCACAACCTCACATTCCAACAAACTCAACCTCATTCACAATATCTACACAAAATCAATTACATTTGAAGAAATGCTGAACACGAACACTCTCCATCGAGTTGTACAATGGGAACGCGGACCTGTCGCACCACACGTGCTTCATTCTCACAGTCAGATTCCTCGCACAAACGCGACTGGTCGAAACTCCGTCGCGCGGTGACAGCCGACACTGAAATGATCGTCTTCCGCGGAGCCTGGCATTATATGAGTTTCAGCGCAGGCCCAGGACGCCGGCGCAGGATGTGTGTAACGCAGGACATCCCGTGTGAGCAATCCGCGTGAATATGCTGCTCTAGCGATAGCGGACGGAAGGTACGAGGACGGACCACGCGGAGGTAGTGGATGGAGATTAGTGTATTTGGAGGGAATTTGAATTTTGGAGGGAGTTTTAAATTTGGAGGGAGTTCGAAAGTTTTAGGGAATTTTAATTTTGAGGAAATGTGAATTTTGGAGGGAATTTGAAAGTTGGACTGAATTTTAATTTTGGAGGGAGTTTGAATTTTGGAATAGTACATCGTATGTTTTATAATGTTTATGCATGTAAATGAAATAGTAAGAGTATTATAATGAGTATGAGAAAAATGTAATTAATGTTAGGAAAATAACTAATAACATAATCGTTCGTCCACTAACGAACAAGCAAGCGGTCTCATTTAATCAGCTCCAAGTAAGGACGCTGCTATGAACGCCCAACAGCTTGACAAACACTGATGTAGACACAGCGAATCGACCGAACGAATCGGAAGTAGCGATTGCTCTGGGAAAGGACTTCTGCGGTTTGAAAGAAATTAGGCGGGAAACGTCTGAAGACTAACGAACATTACCGACCGAGGGAAACAAACAGTATCCGTGTTCATGAGCAAAGTATCCGTGGCGCGATACGAGAAATAAATCAAAGTAAATTATAATAAAATATATATTAATAATTATTATTTATTTTACTTATATATATTTATATAATATATTTATTTATATTTATTAGTTATTTATTATATTATTAACTATTTATTATTTACAATGTTTGTGATTTAATTAGATAAGCTACTCTTATTATTCTTTTTTTCATTGCCTATTCACGTTTGGGCCAAAATCTTCATCGCGACTCAGACTCGTTAACACTTTAACTGCCATGTCACCCGAATTCGAGCGATACCATTTTTTATGTAAACTTAAACATTAATTTTCCTGTTAGCGTACCGAACGAACTGAATATCGTTGGACGTACGAGGTATAAGAAAGATACTAGAGCGATTGTCATGAAGAATGACTTTTTTCTTAATAAAGTGGAAATGAAACTATTTCGAGTGCAATGAAGTTTTGATGCGTGTTCACTTGGCATTCTTATTATAGCGACTCTGTCTTATGATTCTCCTGTATCAAGTCGTCCGGCGACCGGAAGTCCCCTTTCGAGTGCAAAGGGTTAAGTCAGTTGGGAAACAAAGCTTTTTTATCTGAACACTTGACGCACCGATGCATTACACACAGTTCAATATTAACACGTTAAGCGCCATGTCAGTCACTGGTGACTGACGCTTCTGAATGACTAAGAAACAATCGTAACATACAAGACAACCGATGTGAAATGAAAATGTTTAACGACGTAACTAAGTTGATAATAGCGTAACCATTAACAATTTTCGAAATGAACCACTCAAATTTGAGTTTATCCTTCTTCTTAAACAGTACACTCTATTTTACTCTTGCTAGACTAATTGCTTGCAATAAGAAAAGTATTCTATGTCGTTCACAGCGTTAGTTTAGTGAATATTTCACCCAGATATCATCGTGTCTGAAGTTTACATGATTTCCAGCTCCGCGTGACAAAATAAACCGTCTAATTATTCTAAACATCATTCAAAATGCATCAGAAATCATGATCAATAGAGATTACTGTTATTAGTTATTAACACAAATTTTTCAATTTTCGTGATTGATTCATGATTCGTTTTCAATAATCGTAATCAACAGAGATTACTCTGTTATTAGTTAATAACACAAATTTTTCAATTTTGGTGATTGATTCACGATTCGTTTTCAATTTTGGTGATTGATTCACGATTCGTTTTCAATAATCGTGATCAACAGAGATTACTCTGTTATTAGTTATCAACACAAAGTTTTCAATTTTCTCTCGACGCAGACAAAAAAAGGTTACGTTCCGATATTTGCCGAATTCGCCTTGAAATCTTGTAATAGATAAACCTAAAAAATTATACATTTATTTGCGAAATATTCGAGTTAACCTCGAAAAACCATAAAAGAGAAGAGGGCCTTCGATGATTATTTGAATGAAACTTGATTTTGGTAATACTTAGCTTCAGATCGAGCGAATATTTTCAGAATTGACTTGTTTCATAATCACTTAAATAATTTATATTCCCTTGAAACCATGCAAAAGCTGATAAAAACATTTTTGATTGAATTGTTAATAATAGTTAATAATAGTTAGTGATATCTAGAGTAATTTCTGATCGCGATTCGCGTTTCACCCTGCATATGGACGCTGTTTAGTGACAAAGCGCGTCGACGCTGTCGCGCGACTCGCCATCTTGTCGCACGGCACAGGCGCGCGACCCGCCATTTTGTCGCACAGCAACAGGCGCTCGGCGTGCCAAGATTTTCACCGTCAGCCGTTGTTCCGTTTGTCGCTTCGTTACTGTCACTTTCGACAGCGAGAAAACTTCGCATAGCATTGTTCTCACTTTGTGAGAGTCTCTTTTTATCGGAATCTTTTTGAGCAGCGATTATTTAAAGCTTCTGCGGAATGAATTAGGTTAAGATGATGGAAATGTCTGCTTGATTTGAAGCTGAGTATTACTACCATTGAGTTTCGTTCGGATAATTATCGAAATAATATTAAGATAAAACGATAGAGAAATTAAAATACAAAGCAAAAATATTGTTTTGATAATTATTTGAATGAAACTTGATTTTGGTAATGATTAGCTTCAAATCAAGCAAATGTTTTGATCATGTTTCAAGTTAATTTGTCACGCAGATAATTATTGGAATAATATTTTTACTTTGTATTTTAGTTTCTTTGGCGTTTTATCTTAATATTGTTTGTCGTAGTCAAAACGCGCATCTTCTTGTGATGAATTATATAACTATATAACTATACAACTATATAACTATTCTTGCGTTGTATGTAATGCCAATACCGTTGGAATTGATATACCCCATAAAAAAAAATTGCACAAAATGAATCACACAAAAACAAAATCTGATAGAAAAGGATCGCACAATAACAGGTTTGACAATGCTCCATAATTATTCAAGTGGTCTAAGTAAAAATTAAAAAAAATGAATTTATCAGTTATTTCACACTACATTATTTTATATTAAATTAAAACAGGAAAAATACATGACTTAGTTCACTTTCATTATGAGCACAATTATGAAAATGTATTACAAACTGTGACAATGGATAATGGATAATCGACATTTGATAATTGCAACACTCAATACAACCTATAAACTCCATAATTATAAATTGAAAAAAATTATATACTCCGTAATTATTCAAATGAAAAACTTCTGACCAGCAATGCACATGTTCTACAATCACGATGACGTAACGTGTTAAACGATTAAATGTCGCGACAAGTCATTTTAATCAACGTCAGTTATCTCGCCACGTAAACCCGCGTACACCCTCGTGTCTGCTAAGAAAAACCGCGGCGTTCCTATCCGCGTTTCTATGAATACCGTATGACAGCATCGTCGCGGTTTTTGGCGTGAACGTGACGTTCAGCACGTGCTGCGTATTAACCTTATTTGGAGATTTTCTGTCGAATGTTTGTGAGTCTGTGGTTTATGGTATGGGTGGTGTGGATTGTTGATGGAAAGAAGCGCTAAAATTGTTAATAAAAAATTAATGTTCATACCATAGTATATTTTTATAGTTTTATATAGTTTTATATAGTTTTATATAGTTTTATACAATTTCATGCAATTTCATAAAATTTTATATAGTTTTATACAACTTCATACAGTTTTATATAGTTTTATACAATTTCACATACTTTCATATAATTTTAAAAATTAAGTTACGTTTATAAAAATATACCTCTTTTATTTTCTCCTAAATTATTTTCAAAAAATATTGTCTTTTGCGTATCAGAGAAATCGAAGCGAAAAACAAATGACGACTACAGACGTCTACCTTTTTTAAAGAAAATTGATTAAAAAATACAATAATTTTAATCCATAAGTATGAAGTCTTGATCGAACTCCCCAAGAACCAACTGATTGACAAAAAAGATGTATGTGCAATTTGGAAGCACTTAATTAGTCAAAATTAATTATGCAACTCGTGAATTGAATTTTTCTTCTTATGTATTCACAACTGGTATTATATACACGGTGTGTAATATTTCTGTGAGCCAGTAATTAATTTTCATTTCATAATTAACATTCACTCTTATACTAAATATTTCATAATTAACTTCAAGTGTAATATTCCATATTTTAAACACAAATGAAATATTTATCATAACAGTGAATATTAATCTTTCTATATCTTACATATTCACAACTGATATTATATACACGGTGTATAATAATTCTGTGAACCAGTAATTATCGAGAATACTTTGTCTCTCTACGGTTATGAAACAAGAATGCATGACAGTACGGTTTATCATTCGAGTTGCAATATTATTTCAGTTTCAGCGAATTCATGCGAGAGCTGCGGAAATATTTTGCAACGCTGCATACTTGACGCGTAAGCAGATTATTTAAGGGGATTATTTGAGATGTTGCTTGTGAATTTAGTGAGGAAGTGTAACTGGTGAGAATGATTGTTAATGATGAATTGTGAATGATTGTACTGTTCATAATGAATGTGTATGTAATAAATTATGAATAATTCTATTATTAATAATGAATGTGTATATAATAAATTATGAATAATTCTACTATTAATAATGAATATTTAAATAATAAATTAAAAATAATTTTATTATTAACAATGAATCTATAAGTAACAAGTTACAAATAATACTATTATTGATAATGAATTTATAAAGAAATTAAAAATAATTCTATTAATAATACTGAACGTATAAATATTAACTACAAATAATTCTACTATTAATAATAATAAAGACTATAACCTCTTTCATTAGCTTCAATTGAACTCATTCAACTGATTTTTCT